TAAAGAGGTGGTCAAAGGAATTTGAGGACCCCTATATAACGAAGACTCTCTATATCTCGCTTGTTCGTCCGATTTTAGAATACGGCTCATGTGTATGGTGCCCTCAGTACAACATACATCAGGACCGTATTGAATCAGTACAGAAAAACTTTTTATTATTTGCCCTACGGGGCCTCAACTGGGATGCAACTGTGAGACTGCCATCCTACCGTAGTAGACTTCTTTTAATAAATCTTCCATCCTTAGTTAGTCGTAGAAAAATGCTTGGTGTAATTTTTATGCACAACTTGATCAAGGGGGATGTAGACAGCCCTGACTTGCTGAGCCGCATAAACTTTACGATTCCCATTAGACCCACTAGAAACTTTATTCCTTTGTTCCTTCCACTATGTAGATCGAATTATGCCTCACACGAACCCTTTAGGGTTTTATGCTCGGATTATAATTCCCTCTACCACATTATATCCTCAACTAACTCCCTTCCTCTTCTTAAATCTCTTATACTAGCCTACCTCTCCCGTAGTTAGTTTCATTTTAGTTTTGTCTTGTCTCTGATTTTGGTAATTTCTGCTTGCTTAGCTTAGTCTAGTTATGATTAGATCTAATTTTCCTCGAATATTAGCCTAACATCTATCTTTCCTGCATGCTCGCGACCGGTTCGGTTAATCGCGCCGCGCGTCATGCGGCAGCGCCCCTCGGTCGGTTGGGCGGGAGGAGGGCTGCGTTCTGCTAGGTTCCGCGCGTAACAGGCTTTGGCTTGGTGTCGCATGGGCCACTTGATGGTGCAGTCATTGCATATCAACGTCCAGAAAAAAAAAAAAAAATGTAGAACTCTACATACACAGTTTGCTCACCAGCTCACGGGTAAATTCTGCACTACTTGGCAGAGAGCATCCACAAGTCGTGACTCTGTCAAGGCACACAAGTCGCCTGTGTTTCCTTCAAATGTCTGGATTGCCCTCGAACACATGTCGTTGAAAGGGCTGGCAGATTACCCCACAGGTATCGTAGCTATCGGTGGCCCATCCAAGAGCCAATGCCAGGGTTACGCCAATTAGTTTGATGTGAAAGTTTGCCCTGCCTTCCGGTGGGAATGAATGATTGATTGATAGATTCACTTATGGCGCTGACGTGCAAGAGCACACTCTGCAGCGAAAGCAAGAGAGAGAGAGAGAGAGAGAGAGAGAGAGAGAGAGAGAGAGAGAGAGAGAGTGGGCAGGAGAGCAGAGGGCTTCATGGAGCGTTGCTGGGAAAAGTTACCCATACATTTCTGAATTAGTTTAACAGTGAGAGACGTGTTTGGATCCGTGTGCTGGGTATTAGCTCACCCGATGCTTGGGCGAGATTGGATTGGGACGGTAACTGCAACCGCATTCAACGTTCGTCGACCTTGCAACTCGTTCTGTGTACTATTTGCATTTATTGTAGCTTTTCTTTGCCCCAACTCATTCCGTGTTCCGCGCCCTGGACAGCTCTCCTAGCCAGGGCTCTGCGCCATGCGAGTGTGTGGGCAGAGGCCAGTTGGTATCCTCGGATCCCTGATAACAGGCCATTGCCTGGTCATTGAACCGAGTCGAGCCGTGCCGGACAGTTCGCTCTTGCATTTTTGTAATTTCCATTTTCCGGAATCTTCCATTTTGTGGTGTGAAAACGGGGAAACAGGAAAACTCCAGCGCAGTGCCGTAAGTAGCAGTTGATTTCCCTTTCTACCAATGTCTGGCAGGGTCTCGTGGTTGCTGCTGCCGCTGCCGCTCTCCGGGTACAGTGTCGCTTCATCGACAGACACTTTGTTGGCTGTCTGGCTCTGACTCCTGCCCTCGTTCCTGCTGCTCCACTACCCCAAAGTTGTGGCAAAAAGGAACTGTTCCTCCTAAATGTTCGATGGTTTTCACTGGCACACAGGCAACAGTGCGAGGCATTCCTACCAAACACTGCAGTTGGTATTGCCCAAGTGGTACTACAGTGTGTCCTACACAGGAGAGGGAGAGGACCCATCCCAGAAGCTGCCGTGATCGCAGTTCACGTGGCGCTCTCTGCCGTTGAGTGGCGAGTCTTTCTTCCGAGTGGAGCTGTCTTCGATTTTGTTGCATACTTTAACATCACATTTCATTACATTTAATGTAGAAAACATGTCGAATGTGTGTAAAGTTGGTCTGCGGAGGTACTTCCCAAATTAAGATTCAAATGAGGATGTCAGATGGTCGCTAGTCCTTAGTTCTATACAACTTCTCTTCTCAAAACAAGCCACTATAAACTAATCGAATAATATCATAGGCTTGCTCCCACGTAAGCATTTCCTTTGCTTACTAAACGTTCTCCTATAATCCAATCCCGCCAAATTAGCACAACATAAAATTCGTTTATCAAATCGGAATCTGATTTATTATCCTGTTTGCTCGAAACCCAAAAGTTCTCTCCTGCCCCGTCCCAAAATATACAAACTCCAGCCAGAACCAGAAGTGCACACACACAGAGAGTGTGCCATCCTTGCTCTCAGCTCCCTTATGGGGTGGTGGGGCGTCACTTTGGTGGGGAGGGAGAGAAAGAGAGAGGGAGACAAAAAAAAAAGACCGAAAAAGCATTTCGTCGTTTTTAGCTGGCACGAACAGATCAATGACCTGCATTTCACAGCCTGAGACACAATTCAATCGATAAAAGTGAAGAGTTGGGGCACCAGCACACAGCAGACACTGCACACAAGCGCACACACACACATACAGTCTCACAGACACACATACACAGAGGTGAAAACAACATGGCGCACGTAAAATATATGCAAGCTTCCTGCAGGAAAAGCCAAAATGGCAGACAGCATGCGGCGAACGTGACGCAGTGCAGACAACGCCGAGGTGAAGGAGGGCTGCCAGGCAGGCAGGGATTGGGATAGCCAGCCAAGGGGTGGTGGCTGCAGCAGCAGCAGCAGCAGCAGGAGGAGGTTGGAGTTTGAGTTGGAGCAGCAGCCGCCCTGGAACTTTCTAAAAACTTGTAGACCAGCGCACAGCCAAAAAAGGGGAAGTGGAGCGAGAGTGAAGCTTGCACATTTTATTCGATTCAATCAAATCAAGGAAGCCAGAGGCCAAAGGCTGATTAAAAATTCAACAAAATGTTCAAGGGGTGGTGGGGCAAGTGGGGAAGTATCCAAAAAAAGCATTAACTGTCTTGGGCAACACAGCCCTTCCCACAAATCCAGAGACCAGACAGACAGCCAGGCGGAGGAAGAGTGCCAAATGCATTTGAGTGGGAAGTAAAACACATTGGAATGCTATGCACGACAGTTGGACAACAAGATATGGATGGTAATTGATATATTTGGTCAATTTTGAATTAAGCTAAGAAGGATCTTAAGAACAGCAGGACTGGGTAGGGGAAAGTTTACATTGGACACGATTCTTTATGACATTAATACCCTTTTGCTCCAGCGGTGTCTGGCATAACGACAGCAACACCATATCTATGCGAGTGGTATAACCAACAACCACCCAAAATGAAAGGGAGCGACTCAATCCATAGACTGTTGTCTGAGCCACTACCCTGCGTGTCCACATCGCCGTTAACTGAAGCTCTGCAAAGATGTAGACAAAGGTAATGCATAAAACTTTTGTCAACTTTTACGAGGGGTTTGGTTTTGGTTCTGTTTCTGGGAGAACTGGAGCTGAAACTGAACTGTCTGTCTGAGCTCTGGGGGTTGCTCTCGTGGCTGTTTGGGGAAACGGAAAATTAATGGCATTCTAGACAGAGATCCATTTGATTTGGTTTATGATTTCCCTTTTGGCTGGAACTGCAGTGCAGTCAGTGGGAAGTGGTGAAAACTTTACAAATCGTGGATAAAAGAGCACCAAACAGAAGTGGATGGGTTTCTAATTATTGCAGAGACTGATAAAATGGGGAACCCAATGGGGGAAGACCCAATCAAAAATGATTGTTTTTAGGTGTAAACTTACCTTCTGGATTTATTTACAACTTTAATTTTCAATCGGATAGCCAAATACAATGGAAATAAATATCACAATGCAGAGGCACATCAAGTACAGGATCAGAAAGATGAAGCAAATGAAAAAGCACGCAGACAATATCCAGAGCATTATGAATACCTAAATCGTGGGAGTACATTGTACACACACACTTGATCCAGATTTAATATATATTTCACTCCACAAATTTGGAATGAGTTTAGCCCCTTCAGCTATTGACAGCTGTCAACAAAATGACTGCCCAAGAAACACAAATCTTTCGTAGATGGAGCCCTAAGTAGCGCCTCAGAGACGTCGTCAAATGCATTTATGATGTTTCGGCTTCTGCTGTCACATGTTTAATGAAGCATTTATATCAGCATAGGCATGGACCCGATCCCGAGTTGTGGCAAGTCAATTAGCCTTACTAACACACTCCCACGCCACATTTTTTTCGTGGTTTTCTGCTGCTCGGGTTTCGCTCTGAAGCGAAAACTGCAGCGAAAGTCTGGGCATGGAAAAAAGGGAAACTTTTTGCAGGCGGCATCCCGAAAAGTGCAGCCCTGCACGGAGTTGGAGTTTCTGTTCATTCTCTCTCTCTCTCTCTCTCTCTCTATCTCTCTCTCGGTATCTGTCGCTGTGTCTGTCCCTTGCAGACACACAGACACAAGCAGACAGGGAGAGAGTCAGACAGTTGGCAAATTTCACTGGAGTTGGAGCTTCTACTGTCTGGACTCTAACTCCACATGCCCACATCCCACTCCTGACTCCATTCCAGTGCTGTCATGGCACCCTTGCAGAGTCCACTGTCCAGACTGGGTGTTGCCACACACAGGCGCTAAAAAAGGAGCAAATTGCAACTTCTCCCCCATAAGCGCAATGGGTCAGTGTACAATTATGCTGTCGAATCAAAAAAAATATGTCTAGAGGGCACTTTTCGGCAGCCTGTCCGTCTCCATGGGATTTGTGTGATGGAATTCCGAGTGATTTCTCAGTGATTTCTAGATACAGCTCATAAAGGTAAAGAAGATCTCTCAGAAATAATTCCGACAGAATCTATCCGTTTATTGCGGTTGCTCTGTGGGCATTGAGGGTGGCACTATCCTGAAGTAGCCGTCAGCCATGTAGATTCGCGGATAGTCTGGTCCGCTGCCATCCGGGTTGGTCTTCCAGGTGATGGTTAGACAGGGTTCCCCCGCCTTGGCCTTCCTCGGTATCGTGATCTGGTAGTTCTGCGCATCCTCCGCTTTCACATTGTTCTCGATGAGCAGGAGTTGGCGATCGATTGTCTGTGGCTGTCGCTCCGGCTGTTGTTGCTGCTGCTCCAACTGCTGGGGCGTTGCCACTGGAAGCAGGCTTTGTTGTAAGGGATAAGGATTGTCGTGGGACGCGTGCACGAGTAGACTTCAACTTACATGGCTGGCTCCACGCGCAGGCAATCAGCAGCACACATAATGCCAGCAGCAGCTTGTGCAATGCCTCTGATTTCATAATTATTTATACGAATGTGTGGAAATATAAACAAATACTGTGCTTTGGCTCTGGCTGTGGCTGTGGCTTGTTCTCTCGCTTGTGCTCTGGCTCCCTATACTAGATGCACGGCTATTATCAATTATTATTCAACGACGAAGACGGCGACAACTACGACGACTTGGCGCTACGCGTTCTCAGCTCAGACTGTGCGATCATCTGAGCAGCTCCAACTGCTGAGGCGATGCTCTACCCAGCCTCTTTGGGGCTTCTATCACCTGAAACTCGGGGCGGCCCCCTTATTTCTGAATGAATCAAGCACTGAGCCGCGACAATTTGTAAACAATGGCTCTATCAGAGTCCCGAGCTGATAAGTTTCGAGTGAACAAAGGAAAAGTCTTGCAGGCACCGCTGGTGGGGTCATCGATTGCTCAGCCCCACACTCGTAGTTATCAAAAACGCATATATGAATCGTTCGTACCCGGTAATCGTAGATCTCTAGAGCAGATTCTACACCAATAGTAGAACTATGTCGAAGTTTTTTTTGGCAGCTTCTATGTACAAGCAGCAGAGTCAACGCATCTACGACCCTAAAACTATACCGCATGCAACTGAACTGTTCATGTTTGATGATGAAAATTTAACGATATATTAATGTAATCAATATGATTGTCTGATTTGTTTATCTATTGAACTAATTCTGCTCCCACAAATGCTTACGAGCAGTTTGACTTAGCAAACTGTTAAGTGACTCTGTTAACAGGTATAATCTGAAATGTTTACTGCTTGCCAGCGGTAACTGTTAATTTAATTTTTTGTTAACATAAACCCCTGATTAAACGCATTTCTTAAAGCACTGATATCAGCTGCCAGGTTCCATCACAACCTGCTGATTGCATCACCCATCTGATAAATAGGTACATTAGTAAATACTTGAATTTTATACTATTTATTTAAATTATGAATTCTATTCTCCTTTTGATTAACTTATTTAACTGACCTTAAGTATACCAACGAGCCGTCACCCAACTAATTTTCGATCAGATAAACCAAGCCCCAATACCGCCTGACACCTAACAAATCAATTATGTTCGTTGCACTGCAGCCACCTGGCGCCTTCTTATTTGAATATAACCCATAACACCGAGTTTTTGTCAGACGTCATTAACATACTCGATATATCTGTTTCGATAGTTCCCTTGTTCGTTTTGCAGCACTAGTTACCGGAGCAGCAAAAACTACGGCATGTTTCGCAATTTGACTGGAAAAACAACTAAAATAACAAAAGCGAGTCCTTTGAAATAGCTAATCTTCTAAAGATTTGCTTTTTCTTTCTTATGAAATTAAATGTTCAATGTTGGGAGTCTTATCTTGCTAATAATATTGAAGAGAATATCAGAATCGGGGAATATGAAATAACTGATAAAGGTATTATTCGGTATACTTTTGAGGGTCAGTGGTCAGTGGATCGATAAAACTGCGGTCACACTGCAATAAGAACATGCGCTACCTCAAAACTTTAAATTTATTGTAAAAACCACAACAAAAAGGATAACAAGGTCTCAAAAACAAAAGTTAAACGATAAACAGTCATGACGGTTACCAAAGCATATCAATTTGGGCTCGAGTACGCAGAAGTTTGTAACAAACATACCTCCATGCGGTCTGCTTCCTTGTTTTGATGATCATTTTCCAATTGAATCTATTTTTGTTGTGTTTTTAGATATCTAATCTTGGGCTGCAACCTGATGTACGAACATCATGTAACTGGCTAGGTCTGATCCCTGATGGGAAAGCACGTGGATCGGTGGCCGGCGCACTCCGGCTCCGCCTGCACAACAATCTGACTGTGTCCAATTAGATAGCACCCAAGTAAGCTTCATCTCGCTCAACCAGCGCCAAGTTGTAGTTGGAACACGAATGATACGGAACAGATATTAGGCCGTGGAAAAGTTGGAAGACACGCAGTCGGATTGACAGAAGCATCTCATGCACTGTGGATCTCGGTAACAGGAGAAAGATTTACATTGCTGGTCCATCAGGGCTAAACACACGAAAAACCACCTCCAGCAATGAGTTGCAGCATGGCACCAATGTGCAGTTCAAAGAGTCCGAGGAGGAGAGCGATAATGATAAATATGGCGAGTTTGGGACAGTTATGTACCAGATGAGGGGGAGGCTCACATTGAGGCACATCCTACCGGAGAGAGTGTGGGTATATCAGCGGCAATATATCGATATAATTGATTATTAATCTAGTGTGTTTTCCTTTTTCACAGTTGGCCAATGAGAGTCTGTCAGCATTATGAAAAAGTATCGTATCCTGCATCTCCTGGACATCTTTGGCTATTTACTGTCTACAGTGTCGCCTATGCAAGTTATAAAAGAACGCCGTGGATTTGCAGAGCACGTCAGCCTATGTTTTGAGAGTTGCTGGTCTCGCCTCGCCAAGACACGCGAAAGGACACGGAGTTGATGGAGTTGATGAGCTGGCCTTGACCTATGGCACTCATTTATTTAATGGCGAATAAACGCTACCAACTGCCCGAGGGTTCCTATAACAAGCTGGACAAGGCCTTTGGGGTGGTGCACGTCCCGGCACTCAAGATCTTTGACGATAACGAGGAGCTGCATCCTATCGTTGGCTATTCGTAGGTTGAGCTGTATGAAGCAGATATTGAGCATGGCCATTCGTCTGACGCAGGCCTTTGTGGCTGTTTAATGCTTGATGGAGGGCTTTCGTCGGCTGTGCCTGCAATATATCTGGCCCAGATGGTCACTTAGGGCGTGAGCATGGAATCATACTTGCAATAATTGCCGCACTTCAGTGTCTTCATATATTGTCAAGCGATGCTGAGGAGGTAAGGTGTATATTGATTCTGCCAGCAGCTATCTTTAACCGTTTGGTGTTTTTCAGAAAATCGAAACCGTTTCCGGCATCATACAGCTGAGAGTTTTCATACAGAGTTTGAGGAATGTAGTGGTCTCTGGCAGCTCTACAGTACACAAATGGCCGATGGGGTGCTATTTGCCAACATTGAGCCAACTATGTGATCTACCTGGAGAGTGAATGCCCCGTCAAAACAACATTCTTCTCACAGAAGATCGAGGAAGGCAAGTATGATCGACTGAGGACTTTGGGATGCGATCAGGATTACAAATTCTACATCGAAGTAGCCCATTTCCAATCTGAGAGTGACAGCACGTCGGACTAGGTTAAGATTAGCATAACACATGCATCCGCCAATTATGTAAATATATGAAATGAACCAAGTTTTGTACAACAACAAGAAGTGTAGCATACTTTCAGGCCGTTCAATAATTTTATCAAATATATGAAGTATCTTTTTGGGGATACTTTGATTCGCAAAGGTGTGGTATACTTTCAGGCCGAAAAGATGCCAATTACAAAATTGCGTAAAACAGCCATATCCTGCAGGCTTTGAGGTCCTTGATGGGTTTAAAGGATAGAGAAGACACTTCCGCTCATAATGCGGCGTAGGATGTCCTGATCCGACAGGACACGGCCAAGCTATGGCGTTATAGGGATTACATTAAAAAACATCATTAAAATGCCATTTTCATTTATCCAAGTCCTTACATCCGAAAGGATTGAAAACGATAAAAGACATTCGGCTGATCACGAGGAGGGATGGCATGTCCTGATCCGACAGGACACAGCCAAGCTATGGCGATATAAGGATTACATTAAAAAACATCCTTAAAATTCCATTTTCCTTTATCCAAGTCCTTACATCCGAAAGGATTGAAAACGATAAAGGACATTCGGCTGATCACGAGGAGGGATGGCATGTCCTGATCCGACAGGACACAGCCAAGCTATGGCGTTATGGGGATTACATTAAAAACCATCCTTAAAATGCCATTATCCTTAAAGTCCTTACGTCCGAAAGGATTGAAAATGATAAAGGACATTCGCCTGATCACGAGGAGGTGTGGCATGTCCTGATCGACCCCCAAATTAAAGAGAAAACAATAAAACAAAAATGTGTGCTGTGTGCTGTGTGTTTGTTGTACAACAAAAAACTTTTCAAATTGCTTCGCTCAAATGGCAATTTTCGGACCGAGTACTAGGCGAACATAAACCAGCAGAAGGTAGCTGGTTTTTATGTTTTTTCATCGTGTCAAGAGCTGGCTGCTATGAAACTCGGCGGTTTTTTTTAAATCTCGCCATTAAAGGTATGCACCCAACCGTAGTTCCACTGGACATTTTTGGATGTTGTTTTCTCCTTAATTTGTTTGCCGATCAGGACATGCCACACCTCCTCGTGATCAGGCGAATGTCCTTTATCGTTTTCAATCCTTTCGGATGTAAGGACTTTAAGGATAATGGCATTTTAATGATTTTTTTAATGTAATCCCTATAACGCCATAGCTTGGCTGTGACCTGTCGAATCAGGACATGCCATACATCCTCGTGATCGGATGCAAGGATATTAAGAATAATGCCATTTTAATGTGGTTTTTACATATAATCCCAACAAGGCTAAATACGTAATATATATTCAGCCTGAAAGTATGCCATTATCAATAACATAAACCGTCCCAAAAGTATGCAACCCATTTTTATTTTTAAAAGCAGCAAATTAAAACATTCGCTAGTCGATTTTTGTGAAAAGAATAACTATTTATTTTCAACAGGGGATATTATTCAAAATAGATCATTTATAAGTGTGTAATACATAGATATACATATATACTCTGTCTGTAAATACATTTAATTAAATGCTCAGGTTGATTGATATTCTCAGGTGGTTAGTTTGAAACAACATTGTTAGCATTGTAATCGTTACTCTACGAGATAAAAAGACACTTTCATCATATCCTGCATCTCTCTTTGCATTGGGACAATTTCAAATTGTCCTTCGATGGCACAAAAACCGAGTGCAGTGGTGGTGTGGGGGAGACTTAATAACGATATTACCAAAGGAAAAAGCTGATGGAGTGGAGTGCCAGGAATGCGGAATGCAAATGTTGAAAATATAATAAGTCATTCTAAGAAATCCGTGAGTACTTACGAGTAATAATATTAAAATAAATGTAGTTTATGTTATAACATAACAGCATTTGCCTGCTACAATTGGAATACAAATACAAATTGGTATCATAAATCGTTACTGCTTTCGCGCTGCTCTCTACATATTTCATCGTGTTCTGCTCCCAAAATGTCATATTTAAACCTGAACTAGACCCAAATCAAGGAGGATTAAGTGCCAAAACTACGGAAGGTAGCCGCAGCGGAAGATGTTGGCTTTTGGTTTTGGCTTTATTGCGGAATGTCTGAGACTGGAGATGGGTGACGTGAAGTGGTAGACTGATGCTGTCGCAGATCTACATGTGCCTGGTGTTGCCAAAGTTGATGCCCGACTGGGTGGCGCCCTTGTTGGATCCATACTGCAGTGAGATGATATTTTGGCCGGCGCGCAGCTGCTCGTCGCTGAAGTTGCGCACATTCTTGTCTGCCTCCTTGGGTCCAATCGAGGGCTTGTTGAAGTTCGAGGCCTACGGCAGATAAGGATATTTTCATCAGAATTATCTTGTGAATATTTTCAGCAATGATTGCACTTACCTTGCGACCCAGCGACTGCAGGCAGATAACCACAGAGTTCAGATTCTGGCGCTCCCAGAGATCAACGCTCTGGAAGGTCTCCTGAGTGGGGACGCCAAAGTTCTTGGCACACTCCAAGAAGGCCGAGATGTTCTCCATGCACTTGAATGCCATTTTGCTCTCGTTCACCTTCTTGATGGATCCCGGCTGCAGGGCATTGGCCAGTTTGCACAGGATCACGCCATCCTTGAGCACTTCGAAGAAGTTGTCCGTGTCGCCGGATGTGTTGATGGGCTCAGCGGTCACCGACTTGATCCACTCCAGGGATTCCTGTGCCAGCTCCTCGCTGTACTTTGAGTTGATCTGCAATAAGGATAAATACGGGAGTGTTCGATTAGATTGGCTATTTCAAAATATTCTAAGATAAGAGTACCTTGGACTGGTACATGGCTGCTAATCCCTCTCTTTCAGCGGGACTTTCTAGACTGGGGCACCCAATCGGCGACTCAAATCATGTTCAGACCCTGACAATATCTCTTACCCAGCGGTTGGGTTATTTCCCCTGCTTGTATCTCGGGCAATATCGGTGATAAGAGAGCTATCATTCATTGGTTATAAACATTCACCTTTCCCTGTCTGGCACTCGTGACAATTCGCCGGTTATATTTCAAGTTCCGATAAGGATAAGATTTCATTTCACCTACACTCTCTCGCTCACTTTTTGTCTTTTCTCTGTCGAGTGTATAGCTCTCTCTTGGTTGCCACTCCCAATTGAATGGGGAGTGCTACCTTGCTCAAATAAGAAAAGTCAGTCACGTTCGCATGTTCTCAAAGCAATATATTGTATAGGTAGTAGTCATAGTATAGAGATACAACCATATTTGCCAATGCTGATCGATAGCTTTGACTGGGAGCGGAGCCTGTTTTATCCGAGTGTCTTGACCATATTCGGCCTTTATTTTGCCGGCTGCTTGGGCGTCCTTCGCACCGATTTTGGCCTCAGAGCCACCACTTGTTGAGCATCTGGCCCCCATTCAAAGCTGCCAACACTTTTGAATCACTCCATTTCCAACCGCAAAAACAAAAAAAAAACCATAAACCAAAATCCCCAACGCACACAAACCGCAAAAGCGTTGCGTGTCGTGTTACTATTTAGCTTCAGCCAATAAAAATCTAGATCCAAATCGCAATCGGAATCAAAATGTTTAACGAACTTTAGGTCATCGTATCATCGTATCACTTGGCAGCCGTTATTATTATTAGTTTTACTTGATTAAACTGTAGTGCCTGTCGCTAACAGATTTCTGATTAGCAGCACATTTTTATCAGAGCAGAGCAGAGAAGTACATACAGACAGATTGAGTGTATACTTGCACTCGTAGAATATATATGGACAAATGTACTTTACTTCCACTAGAATGTGTGATTTGGTTGTGACGGGCGAGTCTATTAAAATGAATGATCTCAGAAACAAATGGAACGATTGTCGCCAATTGAATTGTATTGTGGCTTGCCACCACTCTCTATCAATCTATAGCTACAATCTCCACTCCTTATCGCAGCCCCTCTGTGAAATGCAAGCAAGCCCATAAATGGCCAGCGTTACAGAAGGGGGGCTAGAGGTTGTAATAATGAAGCGAATCGCAGAGGCTTTCCCTGGATTTGTGTACTTAATAAAGGTGAACGCTCTGTACTACATAACTCTTTCTGTATCTCTCTATATACATGTGTATATCTTTCCCTCTCCCTTTCACAACGGTAGTCAATTGACAAACATCCAGTTTAAGAGCATTATTAACGACTGATCCATGATTAAGATATGCAGAAGCAGAGTCCCAGTGGCTTAACCACAGAATCCACA